CCCCAAAACCCCAAAACCCCAAAACCCCATGAGGTGTCTATTTGCAATTATTAAAGTTTAAATAAATTGATTTAATAGCTGTTTAATTGAAAATTAAATTATTTAATTTTTACAATTTTAATATGGGGAAAAACAAATAGCAACAAAAGAAAAAGATAAAAAACCAGTTAGAGCACAATAAAAAACAAGATGAAAAAAGGGAAGAAAGATAAACCAAAAGACAGAGAAGGAGAGAGAAAGAAAAGTTCAATGTAAACTAATTTTTGTAATTTAGCATAATTAATAGAAATAAAAATATGACTCAGATATGACAAAATTCAGAACTCAACTTGCATAGTACGGACTAAAAGTTAAAGAAATGGGTGCTGATGGGAATTGTTTATTTCGATCATTAGCTGACTAGCTTGAAGGTAATGAAAAGTTGCACAGAAAATACAGACAAGAGGCATGCGATTTTATCGAATAAAATAAGGAATAATATGCTCCATTTATTGAAGACGATGAGACAATTGATTAATATTTGGAGGATATGAATAAGGAAAGCACTTGGGGAGGACAGCTTGAACTTTAGGCACTCTCATTGCTATATAAATTTAACTATATAGTACATTAGGTTGATAACCCAAGTATGGCATTTTCCAGTTTCGACTGGGGTACTGTTCCTACATTGCATATTAGTTATCATCTTGGTGAACATTACAATTCCGTCAGGCTAATTGAGGATCCTTGCAATGGACCTCCTTTGACTATTGGACATAAATTAGAAATAAAAAATCCCATGGTAAATATGGAAAATAACGATCAGGAAGAAGAGAAGAAATAACCCAATAATGATGATGATTCTATATCTGTAATTCAGAATATATCTTATTAAAATTTATAGAGAGATCAATTAATATAGTATGCAATGACCGTAACAGGATTAATGGAATATGACATAATGGAGAAGTCTATGGTTGAGTGTTTTGGAGAGCATCTTGAAATATCATTTTAGAGCATAGACCAGACACTATCTTTGATATAAAAGTATTATGAGGATATTGAGATTGAAAGTCTTTAAATGAATTTTGCCAAAACTCTAACTTTGAATAAAGAAGAATCGAAAAATTCCTCAACTCCTTAAAAAAGTAAATCTGTCAATTTTGATGATGAAAAAATCAAGGAGTTAATGAAAGATGGCAACATGCTTGATAAAGATAATAATGTAATATCAATGCCATAAAAGAATAAAAACTGCGTGTGTGGATCAAAGAAGAAGTATAAAATATGCTGCTTCTAAAGAGATTAGGATCAGAAAGACGTTTATATTGAAAAATATAACAAGAAAGTAGAGGAGGCTAAAAGTATAAATAAAGGACTATTAATGCTTTGAAAATTCAATAAATTGATTTCATTATATTGGATATTAAAACCATTTTAGTTAAAATATTCTTGATGAATTATTTATACGAAATTTTCAATTAATTAATTCAGACAATGAGCTTTATGATTCCTTCATATCTATTAAGTTTTTCAATGCTTTTTTAATAATCTCCAAATTATGTTTGATTTAAGATAAAAAAGCTTTTGAGAATATCTGCCACCTTGTAAATATTAGTTTCTCTATCAATTGACTTTACGATTGGATAATTTTTGAATAGGTAAAGTTCTAATCCAAGAATCAGAGAGAGATCTGAAATATCTATCTCATTGAATTGCTCTAAAACAATAACGATATCTCCTTGTAATCCCTTCAATAAATGCCTTCTTTCAATCATTTTAAATAGTAGTCCAGATCTCAGAGGATCGTTATAATACTACTCACTTTATAACGATAAATGTGGTTACATTACTTTTAAATCTGAATTTTCTATACTCTCTTTGAATGGATGTAATAGTGGATCCAAAGAAATTATATGCTTTACATTTTAGTTTTCATATGCAGATTAAATGCAAGTTGTGGCGCCAATCCCAATTCCAAATAATGATATACTACTAAAATCGATCATTCTAACTTCTTCCTAACTAAATGTAAGCAAAAGTTATTCCTTCAAAACATTTCCCTAAGTTAGTAGGTTAATTTCATTAACTCTCATTAGTAAGCAGCCTTATAAATCTTCTGAAGTTTAATTCCTAAGTTTTTCATTAAATGGTATATAATTTCCGTCTTTATTCATAAAACTTAAACCACTTCCATCTTAATGCTCAACACAAATTACAATATTTAATCCATTTACCACAATATCTTTACACAGTGCAGAATTAGTTGATATTGATCCCCCAATATCATGAGAGAATATAATTGGGTTTAGTTTTTTTAAAGGATTTTGGGCTAATATTCCACTAAAACCTAAGCTATCATTGAGAAAAAACTTAAATAAAAAGATTGGAAGATAGCAATTTAAATAGTTTATAAGACCATAAATTGTTTAATAGCCATCTATAAAGTAAGGTTGTCTAGTCAAAATTTATCCGAAATATTTAGCAAAGAGATTTTTATACACAGGATAATAAATACCTAATCTCATTGAATTAGGAAGGTTTGTTTTTATAATTCTTACTCCAACATCATATTTATTTTTCCTAAGTATGTGATTTTTCACATAAAATAGTCCATAGGTAAATTTCAACCATATTGTAAGCAAAGTTGAGATTAGGTAAATGTAAAAATAAGTATTTTCATACTTATTTTAGTAGAGAAATGCTATGAAATATAACGTATAACCAAGAATCATAGGCATAATGTATAATCTCAAGCCATTTTAGTAATTTTGGACAAAGAGCAAGATCAAATAAATGATTAGTAGATATAACTTTGTCTTAGCTGAAACAATATGGCTAAAATGTATAAGTATGCAGGAAAAAATAGATAATAAGATAAGAATCAATTCCAAACTCGAAAAATCTAGGTTCAAGTTGAAGCTTTTTTCATTTTTATTGTTATTGACTGCTTGTTTTAATTTTGCGAACATTTCTATTAATTATTGAATTTGAAAAGAAATTATTATAAATATTTTTCCAAAATTAATATCTTATATCTTATTTGGCATGCTGGGGTTTTGGGGTTTTGGGG